CGTACTGTTAGTGGGACAGCAGAGTGCACTCATTGTGTGTTGGAGTGTTTTCTATGAAGGGCTGTGTAGGCCAACATTCAAACTAACCTTGCACACACACTACTGAAAACATCTGGCCTTGCACACACACTACTGAAATACTCTCACATTCACTAGTGAACACCTCACACACACACAACTGAAAATTAAACCTCACACACTCACAACTGAAAATTAACCTCACACACACACAACTGAAAATTAACCTCACACACACACAACTGAAAATTAACTTCACACACACACTATTGAAATACTCTCACATTCACTACTGAACACCTCACACACTGTTTAATTTTCAGGTGTGTGTGTGAGGTGTTCAGTAGTGAATGTGAGAGTATTTCAGTAGTGTGTGTGCAAGGCCAGATGTTTTCAGTAGTGTGTGTGCGAGGTTAGTTTGAATTTTGGCTTACACAGCCCCTCATAGTTTTCCTCTTGACCTCTCCGGCACAGTTCCCGTGGCACGAAGCTCTGAGTGGGGCTGATAAGAACACCCCCCCCCTGTCTCTGTCCTGAGTCCCACTGCACGAAACCGGTCCAGCCAACGTGCACCCACCCCCCCCAAACCCCACCCTGACTCAACCACACTGAGACGTTCCCATAATGTAAGAGACCTGGCTGGAGCTGGAAGTGGGACAAGGACAGCTCAGCATGTTCTCGGAGGAATGGAATGTGCAACAAAGAATGCATGCAGGCTGCAACAATAGTGGGAACAGTCGCCTCATCTCGTTTAGGAAGTTCAGCAATTCATAAAGACACGATTATCGTTTCCCTAAAGGAGCAACAACCTGAGGTTGCAATTAGGTCACATCTCAGTAGGGTTGAATGAGGTACTTCCATAGTCTGTGTATTAGATCAGTCTGCACAGCCACAGTTTGGAGAAGCATCTTCACTTTTGTTGTAACAATGTGTGAGTGCCAGCACAAGAAAAGCAGTGTGCTGTGCACGTCACCTGAAAACAAGAAACAGCCCAACATCTAAATCAGTTTAAGTTTACACAATATTTAGAATATTTTCAGCACTTTACCTGCCATAAGACAGCCCAACAAGGCACTGAAGGCTCTCTTCTAAAACACAAGACTCTTTTGACAAAACCAGTTCCAAAAATCCCCCCCAACCTTCACCGCCTGTCTGTATTCTGCAGAGATAAGTCCTCCACACAAACAAGCTCTCTACAGTATATCCTTTTACTCTTTATTCCCATGACAAGTGTTGATTCCACAGATAAGGAACATTCCGCCATTCAATAACTCACATATTTACTCCAAGATGGGTTCATAATGTGAAGCTATACCCATCGAGTTTTCACACACACACACACACACACACACACACACACACACACACACACACACACACACACACACACACACACACACACACACACACACACACACACACACACACACACTCTATGCACAATAATGATCTCATAGGATCCAGGAGCAAATGTAAATAAGTCACAAACCTAAGTATTCAAGCTCAAACATATTTAGCTTAATAGTATCCTGCTTTATGATTATTTGCAGTTATTTTGACACCCTCCTCTTAAAACCTTGACATACCCTTAAACTGTTTAGTTTTCACAGGTTTTATTTTCCATATTTTGGTCAATGTCAAATGGAAGAAATTCTTGGAGCTTTTGGTCTCTTTAACGAACGTTAAAAACACTGAACCAACCTTAACTAATATCCCCCCCCCCCACTCAAACGTATGGTTTTACCACAGAATCATTTACTGCTACCTGTTAAACACTGGCTGAGTCGCACTTTAAATTTGAGTTGAAGACGCGTACATACAAACATGATTATGGGATGTCTCTACCAGTTTGGAAGCTCAAACATTCACATTTCAGTGTAATGTGAAAAAGTCACCGGTGCCCATTCACTGAGGATGGACTTACAGGGGAAGATTAAGACATCTTGTATCTACAAGTTATACATCAGAAAATACAAATATTTGGCATTTTATATATTCGTCATGGATGTTTTTGTGAGGTAGGAGTAGATTCTTTTTTTTTTTCAAGGTCATTTAACTACTTTGTAGATCCAAGTTTAATCAAAAGCTGATATTTGATGTCTTAAAATATTTCTCAAGGCGATATTTTATATTTATAAATACAAATTTCACAAGAAAAATGTCTTGGAACAGGACACATGTTTAGCATTCCTCCTCGGACAAAAAGACTAACTAACTTAATAACTAAATAACTGTGACTGAGCACATTATCTACTAAGAAAGGCTAAGAAGGTGGGCGGAAAGCTTTGGAAAAAAACAGTTAGTGGACTTATTTTGATTAAAAAACTAAATCTGATGTGTTATAAATCGAATTGAATATCGAATTGTGCAAACATTTTAAGGCTTTTAAAGATTTGGTTTAGGTAAATATACTTGATTTGGAGATACAGAATGAGCATTTACTAGGCAGGGTCTAACTAAAGATGCTGATGAAGTGCATCATAGGAAATGTATGATTAGTGTTTTTTTGGACTCGACTAATACTTGAGACTCAAAGACGGAGTATCTTGGCCTCTGCAGGCCAATGTTGACAGTTCCTTTTTTAATATGTCTCCTGCAAGGTTGCAAAGGTAAGGAGAAGGTCACACTCAATTGCTGAAATGCCCCTTCAAAAGTAATGATAATGTAATCATCAAACACAAAAAGAATAAGAAGAATGAATATGCCAGAGAATGTCCACATTTGCACACGTAACAATTATCCTGATAGAGCATAATGCATTAAAAAATCAAGGTGGCAATTACTCAATCATCCTGTAGCCTTAGGCCAATTTTTCCATAAACAAGGTTATCCAATGCCTTCTGGACTCAAACCAGCCTCACTCCCTTCCACTAGGCCCCCTCAAAGAATCTCCACATATAAAACCTTTCACCTCCCTCCAGAGAGAGCCAGAGGAATGCCTGCCAAATTCCTCTCTGCTGTTTGTTGGGGCTCACAGTGTTAGCAACACGGCTCAGAACCAAAGTGAGAAGTCACTGGACGAGCGGAGCAGAACTTCTGTGCTGTCGTTGAACAAGTATGACGGCAAAAATGAAGAACACATTTTTCTTCAGAATCTTTCCACTTTATTTCCATTCCATCAGTGTGTGCTTTATTAGGAGCAGTACAATAAAATATTCCACCCTGGCTGGGGTTGAGTGCCCCACATGGTTGATATTAACATTCCATCAGCTTTCTAATGATGAGGACAAAGCAGGGGGGGGGGGGCCTCATGACAGCATTGGCATGGTGCACACATTCCTGCACCAGACTGGCCAGAGGGCCTCTGCAGGGTGGTGGGGGGTCTGCGGCTGACATGCACATATGTGGTATTTTCCCAGTTTTGCAGGGAGGACGGACCCTCCTTTGGCTCTCACAACAGTCTTTTCTCTGGATGTTAATGCAAAGTGTTAATGCTGCATTCTAGGCCACTTGGAAAAATTGAAAAAATGATGCAGCGTCCAACAAGGACAAATGCAAAGGAACCCTCTTAATGTCAGAATCTCAACAAGTAATCCAAGAGGAATGCAGCAAGCTTCGTGAGGTCACATAAATACGACAGAATAAGCCAGAATACATCATACACAGCTGAGGCACATTTCCTCTAAGTTCTGATAATAAAACATTACTTGCAGAGACAGGTGTGTGACAACATGGCGGGATCAACATTTTTTAATGTGAGTTCAGATTTGCATACTCCCATTCAGAACACACAGAGGCATGGACGGAATGCACACTATACAAAATGTGTTGTGCACAAGAGCCCACACATCCGAAATATTTACAGTTGAAATACTAGAAATTAGGGTTAGGGTTCCTGAAGATATTTGGCTAAACTCTAATTATAAAATGTGAAAGTCGTGAGCAGTCACTACATGTTAGAGCCTATAGTGATCTGCCACTACTCCTTCTTAGAGAGCAGTGTTCATTTATCAAACTTGTATCTATTGTTCTTTTCCAGAAAATGGCAGTCTGATCAGAGCTGAAAGAGTTATTTGAATAATTGAATAGATTAGGGATATCACAAGAACCGATACTTCCATGCCAGGATTTATTATTCGTTTTTTTCTTTCGTATTGATAATCATGTAATTTCACAAAAACTATTTGGGGTTTTTAAAATGTCAGTCTAGTTTGTCTTTCCTTAATGTTTTTTCTTTTGGATTATATATATATATATATATATAGTGGAACTTTGCAGCTACTTTTACAGCTCACGGCGGCACAGGACATGTTCAGAGAGCCTGAAGCTGCTGAGGACCGGAGGATGGAAAGGGTTCAGGCAGCCTTAGCTTGTTGTTTAGGATGAGCTGGAAGTGGCAGGACAAAACAGTTTCAAGAGACAGATCAAAGAAAAACGAGACAGAAAACCCCCCAAAAAAACAGGTAACAATCAGAGCTCATCAGCAACGCAACACTGTCAATGTGACCTCAAAACAACTCTGTCTTCACTGTGAGGACAGAGAGGGACAGAGAGGGACAGAGGGGGACAGAGAGGGACAGAGGGGGACAGAGAGGGACAGAGGGGGACAGAGAGGGACAGAGGGGGACAGAGAGGGACAGAGGAGGATAGAGGGGGATAGAGGGGGACAGAGAGGGACAGAGGGGACAGAGAGGGACAGAGGGGGACAGAGAGGGACAGAGGGGGATAGAGGGGGATAGAGGGGGATAGAGAGGGACAGAGGAGGACAGAGGGGGATAGAGGGGGATAGAGGGGGACAGAGAGGGACAGAGGGGGACAGAGAGGGACAGAGGGGGACAGAGAGGGACAGAGGGGGACAGAGAGGGACAGAGGGGGACAGAGAGGGACAGAGAGGGACAGAGGGGGACAGAGAGGGATAGAGGGGGACAGAGAGGGACAGAGGGGGACAGAGGGGGACAGAGAGGGACAGAGAGGGATAGAGGGGGACAGAGAGGGACAGAGAGGGACAGAGGGGGACAGAGGGGGACAGAGAGGGACAGAGAGGGACAGAGGGGGACAGAGGGGGACAGAGAGGGACAGAGAGGGACAGAGGGGGACAGAGAGGGACAGAGGAGTCTGGGCTGTATGAGGCCACAGCTTATTTGTTTCTTCTTTGATAGTGTTTAAGAAAGAACTTTTGGGAATTCCAACTCTTCGTTGCCAATCTGAGTTTAATTGTGCAAGAATCCAGAAGGGCTCTGACAGGGAGGAACTTCGCAAAGGCCAATGATGCATTCAGGTGCTCCTCCGCTGCTCTGTTTCCCGAGTTGGGAAAACGTTCTTCCAACTTCGGTGTGTCCATGATCTTTAAAAAGCCATGTGGAAACAGACCCTAAAAAGAGGATCTGTTGTAGTAAGTTGTTTATAGCCATCAACCCAACACCACAGTTATAGTTTGGTCTGCCATGTTTCTGCGTCATATCAACTAAGCAAGTCCTGCAAAAAAGGGTCTGAAGACTAGGAGTTGGATTTATTGCACCTCACTCCATCTCTAACCACTCTGCTGCCTGCAGTCGGTGGACGTGTGGGGGGGCCCTGAGCCCCCTGGCAGGTACTTGGAGAAAATCCTGGCATTGCTTTCTCTCATCCCATGGATGTGGGAGTCCACCTTCTGGACCAGCTCCTGAGCCAGGAAGCTCTCTTCCTGCAAGAAACGAGAGACTGTTCCGTCCCCTGGAGAAACCGACAGAGGCTCCTGAGAGGGAAGAAGAAACAAATTGGTGGGATTCTCAAAATGATCTTTACGACAACTGTGGCTTATTCATTGTGATGAACATCACCATGGCAGAGGGAGACGGTATGGGCTGCTCTCTGGACTCAGAGTGTTCAGAGCTGGATCTTTGTTCCTCAGCAGCAGAGTCATTTAGACTTGGCACAGAGATTCTCCTGGTGAGTCTTGTGGAGGAAGAGGAGGATGCTGAAGAAGCAGGCCTGCTGTCTGGGGGACAGGAGGCCTGGGACAGGGTGTGCAGCTGCTGGAAGAGGCTCTGGATCTCTCCTGAGCAGAGACCGCTGGTCTGCAGCTCAGCCTTTGTTGCTGTCTCTTGCCTGTGGTGACAGATAAAGCAAAAGTTGGATAAAAGTTTAATTTTCTTGATCTTTTGAGCATGTGTTTCTTTGTGTGGCGGGCACCTGTCCTGAGCAGGCTGTGGGGGGGCGGTCTTAGCGTGATGGAGCAGAGCTTGTTGGTATTGGTCAGGACAGGTCCTGCTGGAGGCCTGGTGTCGGGTTTGCAGCTCAGAGAGGTCCTTCCTCAGCCACACGTTCTCTTGCTCCAGGCTGCACAGAGACGACAGATAACTGTCCCCGAGGGGCGCGGGCGAGGACTCCCCCCTCTGAGGACACAGTTCATTAGAGAGAGAGCAGAGGCAGGCTGAAAAACAATCACTGAAGCCATGTTGAAGGGAGACACTACAGGAGAATACCTTCTATACTACTTACTTTAGGACAATTCTTTTAGTATTGCGCATGCTTTCTGTTCAAATACATTTCCGAAACAATAATCTGAACAGCGGCAAAGCAAAAAGTTAAATTGTTAATGTTTGGGGAATAAAATGTGATATAGATCGGTCTATTAATGATAAATGAACGTAGCCCTTTGTAAGAACCTAAGAAAATATATAGGAATAAACTTCAAAGTTTGGTGTTTGTAGGTGATAGTACTGCTAGGTGCATATTTCTCGCTAAGCAAATTAAAAAAAAATGTTTGAGGAAAACAACATATTGTAAAATGTAAAGACACTAAAAATGGTAAAAACTAAACTTACTTTACTTTGGTTCATTCAAAAGATCTAGATGCATGTAGACAAAGCAACACAAACACTTAAATGCATGTTTTCCTTCCAGTACTCTGAAAGACCAAACTGTCCAAATGGACATGATGCTGCATCATGTTATTGCCTGGAGTGTCTCGCTTTATGAATAGAATGCCGTGTCATGAGTGAATAACTACATCATCACCATTAATAAGTTAGACATTTCTATAAGTTCTACACATGTCTGAATTAAAAGATGTAACATAATGTAAATGCAGCAGTTACATTTGCACAGACCCCGCATTTCAGCAAGCAGGAGAGAAGACTGTTTTCAGACTGCAGTGAAAAGGTTGTTTTTGAAACGCTAAAATAATGGATTGTAGCAGAATATTTCATTAGAAAACTACACATTTTGACTTTTGGAAATTATTTATTTAGTCAAATAATTCATGTAGGCCTATTATTTGTATTATATATAAAAAATAAATGTTTGGCCTTTAAACTAGCCTGCATTGACCCGCCATTTTAATCTAAATCTAGAAAATAGTATAATAGTTAAAATATTAATGTAATCTAATCTGAAACTCTGCAGAAAACAACACATACAGAATAAATACGAGTGGCTCTTTCTGTAAAAGTCCTATCATGTCTGAATAAAGACATAAAAAACACACATTAGCCAGAATAACAAAGAAGTTCACTTATGAGACACATTGTGAAGAAGGCTCATGGCTTACATGGGGTCATTGTGATCGTTGTGATGGAACTATGGAATGATAATGTCACAGGCTCTGCTGTGTGTGTGTGTGTGTGTGTGTGTGTGTGTGTGTGTGTGTGTGTGTGTGTGTGTGTGTGTGTGTGTGTGTGTGTGTGTGTGTGTGTGTGCTCACTGTTAGCTGGGCTTCTTTCTGTGCTGCTCGCCCCACCCCCCCACAGTGCTGCCTGATGCTGGATGGAGAGCCCTTCAGTGTGCAGATGGTGGCGTCTCGTTGGTGCAGCTCTGAGGTCAGTTTGGACACCTCCCTCCTCATCCCCTCCACCTCCCCACTGTGAGTCTGCCGCGCCCTGAGGAGCTCCTCGTTGACCTGTGGAAGGAATCCAGAGAAATCACAATACTTAAGACAGTGTAGGGCAAGGCATGTGTTTGGGTTGTCACTATTGGTTAAAGTTGGTGTGTGTGTGCGGTGTGGAGGTGTGTGTGTGTGTGAGTATCTCACAACATTAGGTGACACGCAATGTGGAAGTGTGCTGTTTATTACTAGTTTTGACTGTTACAGCGGGAGGAAGAATAGGGAGTATTCATTTATTTTGACCCCAGCGCAATCGCAACACAACTGTTCATTTTAGATTTTGTTATTGTAAGAGCATCATGTACAAAAATGACTTTTACCACAATATACAATATTTACATGAAATTAAAAGGAACGCAACTAAAGACTCTTGTTCTTTTTGTTTGGATACAGAGTCCTCTCAGCGGCGTGATTTTTGCTACAACACACACACAACTACAGTTTGACCATCAAAAACTCCAAACTGCCACAACACGAGCAGACAGAGGAGATCACTGACCTTTTTCCTTTCTGCCACAGAGGAATCATATTGTGCCTTGATGCTCCTCAGCTCAGATTGGTCAGCTTTCTGCCGGCTCACCCTCTCCAGACTGAGCAAATCAGAAAGACATTGATGGCACCAAACAAAGAAATAGAGTCACATTATGGCGCATTTCCACTACACGGTCGGCCTCGGCCACACTCGGTACGGCTCGGTACGGCTTGGCCGCGTTGGGCCTTAACAGGGCCGACTCACTTCATGCTGCGCTTCCATTACAGTTTAGGAACTGGGGTAGTTACTATAGTAACGCAGTGTAGGCGGAGCCGTGACGTCATCTTCAATGAGAACTCCAGAAACACAACACAGCCGTTAGCTGTTAGCACTCAGAGCTCACAGCTCGTCATATATGTTCAGAAACTCGACAAAAGTTAAACAAGTACAAACCACAGACTGCCTGTGTCATGGCGAGTACAGTCGCTGCTTTATTTATGTCTGTATAGGCCGTTGTTGTGAGTGTGGACGGTCAGAGCATATACTGCGTTAGCTTAGCCAATCTCCATTTAGAAAACACGCATTTTAAAAGGTTTTTCGCCTGCCGTCTGTCTGCAGACTTGTCAAAGCATTAATTCATGGTTTTTACTAACCGGTATCAGTATGTTGTTACTTCGGCATCATTTTGAAACGTGTATTACAATTAAATCACGGTCAAATATGTCCATCTTGTTGTAGTTCTAGCCCTCTTGCCAGCGATTCTCTCTCTAGTTTAGCATACTCAGCCCGACTCAGCCCTGTTTGTTGGCCCCGATAGAACCACCATTTTGTCGGGCCAGAAAAGAGGTGAAAAAGTGGCCCCGGGCCGGGCCGGGCCGTAACTAGGCCTAGTGGAAGCGCAACCAAAAACGGGTACGGCACGACACGGCACGCTTAAAGCGAGCTCCGCGCTGTAGTGGAACTGCGGCATTACTGTCTAAAGAAATAGTAATGTGGCCAGCTCTCACCTCTCTTTGAGACACGCCACTTGAGCCTTGAGATGATCCTCACATGCTTCAGCGCAGTAAAGCTTGGTGGCCGTCTTCTCCAGATCTTGTCTGAGGGTTTCCACTTCGGCACAGCCCTGAGCTGCCAGGCAGTCCTCCAGAGAGCTGAGGAGACACACAGTTCTGTTCAACCTTCTATAAAACTATATTTTATATTTTATACTATATAACAGTACAGCTATAGACTACGATCTCAAAATTACACTCTGTCAAAATTACACTCTGTCCGTCCCCTCAGTACGCACGGAGCTTAGGAAAAAAGCCATATCATACTCTGCCCCCTCGACCTGGAACACACTTCAGCAGGAACTTAAGCTGACCAGTTTGATACCCATCACGGATTTTAAACTAATTTTAGAAAAGCTGGAGAAATCATCTGTGGGTGTTTGCACCTGCTATATCTGACTACTGTATATGGATTTCAGTGACTACTTTTTACGATGTTTTATTTTAGTGTTGCCTCTGTGTTTAGTGTCCTGTCTGTCTGTAACTTTGTGTGGTAGTGTTACCACTGACAGGTCTCTCTTGAAAATGAGACCTTGTGTCTCAATGAGATTTTACACCTGTATAAATAAAGGCTAAATAAAAAAGATATTCTATGGAAGCCCTGAGAGACAGGGCAGTTCACCACTACCCCGGTTCAGTCAGACAACTCGCGTGTTTCTTGATATGTTTATTAGAAATTGCATATAGTTTGAGTTTGGTGTCTAGGCTTGGGCCTCATCACTCCACAGATGTACACAGAACATTGAGTGATGATTAGATAACTATCCCCCCGAGCCTACAGGTGGAAGCTGGGATGGTGGTGGGGCCGACCTGGCAGCTTAAATAGAGCGGCAGGTTTAGCAGCATGTGTTTGGTTGGTTGTAACGGCCCGTCCACACAGCAGCGTGCGTTGAAAGCTTCACCATTCACTTGAATGGGGTGACGTCACTTTTCGTCGAACTGCATTGTGGGAAGCGAAGCGGAGCTTTGCTGGCATGGCTTGCTGCAAAGTTGAGAAATGTTCAACTTTTGAAGCTTCTGAAGCTTCGGTGGAAGCGTCAGCCAATCAAATCCCGTTTATGCAAATCTGCCAGTACAAGCGCTAGCCAATCAAACCGTGTGTATGCTGGGAGAGACACACTGCAGGTCATTTCTTCATATTCCAAAAAATGGAGCAAGCTTCAACGCACGCCGCTGTGTGGACGGGCCGTAAGAGGGACGTCACGTGTAAATGTATCATTAGTGCCCCATTTCTGAGGGATGATAACCCACAAAATATTTACCCTGTGTTTAGAATTATTTTGAACATGCTGTTAAACATTTAAGAAAGATTCCATGGCAAAACTTTTTTTGATCTGTTCAATCAATGATTCAAGATTAGAAAATGATCTTGGCCAAATTAATTTACCCAGCTGTTTCAGAAGGTTTTTTTAAAGGAACTTAGAAACATTAACCTGGCCAAACCTTTTATTTTCACCAGAGCATAAGAAGAAACTGGAGAAGTTAGTAAATGGATCACCAGAAAATGTCTTCTAAATTGCCTCTCAGGACTAAGGCCCGCTCACACGGGAACGTTTGCGTTTATGCACAGTATGCGTATTCAAAAAAGTCTTCCGTTCACATGCATTCGTTTCATTTAACGTGTCTGTTCAAACGAGGCCGCTGGAAACGCTGTAGTACATATGCCGGGACTGTAAGTGGCGCTGTAACTTCCGCCAAAATACACCAAAAGCAGCGAAGAAGAGCAGCCTGGAGCAGCCCCGCAGCAATGTTGCCATGGCTACCCTTCTGTTTATGCCCCGCGGTGTATTTAGCAACATGTAGTTCATGTAATTCTCCATGTCCACTTGTTGCTGATGGTTGTGGTAGAGGAGCTGTAGATTTTGCACTAATATCTGTAGCATGGTCAGTAGCAGTAGCACTAGCAGTAGCTACTGACAGGAGGAAGTGTGTGTGTGGCGATTGCTGGTATTCAGCGGGATATAGTCATTTCCTCAGCATGTAAATATATGGATAAATGCAACGGGGAAGTTAACTGAAAGAAACCGAATCTGTGGATATTGCATCTACCGACCAAGAAGCACGTCTCCGTGGAGAGGACGGCTCAGAAAGAGAGAGATATTCTCTACAAACACCGGGTGAGATCGCTCCTCTGGGACACGCCGGTCCTCGGGTTTCCTTTTTTTGTGTGGATTATAGCCTGAATAGGCCTACAAACATTTCTCTTTTTGCCGCCGACGGGCGCAGGAGCAATGAACAATAATGGCCTGGATTAGGCAGTAAAGACAATGTTGGTGTATCGCAGAGCGGACTGTTTAATTTTGTTTGTGTTGTTTGGCTGGAAAATTGTCAATATAATGGATCAATGCATGAAATCTGACTCTGTTTATTTTGTTTAAGGAGTATATTGGGCGTTAACAATTCTGGTTTGCCTTTTTTATAATATTATTTCATTCAAGAACCCCTTGTGCGTTTAATTAACACAGCTATTTTTGATAGTTGCTACAGCAGTGAGCAGCAGAGGCGGGGAGAGGTGGGGCTATCGCTATTTTTTCAGGAAATATTCGTATAGAGGCGATTACACGGACTCTGTTGACCCCCCAGAGCGTTTCGTTTGCAAATCTATCCACCTTGGGACCCGTTATCGTTTGTGGGGTCCGTTTCTATCGGCCTCGTGTAAATAATAGGGCTATACGCACGCGAAACTATGCAGATACAAGCAGTTTTCTCCTCGTGTAAACGGCGCCTAAAGCATTATCCATACAGCAGAGATTGGCCCTCATCAGTGCAGCTGCAGTGTGAGGAGAGACTGCCCTCTTGTGTATCGTTGCTGTACTACATCATACACATGAGCAATCCACCCACCGGATGACTTGATTTTTAGCCTGCAGGGCTTGGGTCAGTCTGGCAGTTTCGTTGGACAGCCTCTGGCGTTCCAGACCAGATGTTTGCACAAATGAATCCTGGGAGTCCAGCGTGGCGTGGAGCTCCTGCCTCTCCTCTGAAAGCACCTGTGGAAAGCAGCAGTGGATCCTCAGCTGAGAAAATCCCATTCTAACCTCCTACACTGCACTACATGCACACATTATATTACATGACATACATTTACATGATATATTATCTCACACAAACATTATAGATGGATTCATAGATATCCAGGTTAAAGGGAAAATATAAACTCTAGATTTTGGCTTGGACTATCCCTTTATCTATCTCTTTATCAAGCACCTGATAAAGCGCTTTAGAAATAGAATGTATTATTATCATTATTATTATTTAAGTCGTGGACACATATAACAATGATGAATCTGATTTGGGCGTGTCAACTGAGAGGGACGGTTTGGACCTAGTAGGTCTCACTCTTAAGTCTTCAGATGCAGATTTTTGAACACCTGTGATATTATATATGTGTGATGGCCGACTGGTCTTCAGGTTTGTTCAGATCTTTAATCTCAGACTGCTCGTGTTGTTCCTACCCCTGAGCTGAGCTGCTCTCTCTGTCCCAGCCACAGCTCCAGCGGGCGGAGGCGCTCCAGCTCCAGCTCCTGAGAGTGCAGGCTGCCCTGAGCCTTCTGCAGCTGCAAACACACGCGCTCCCGCTCCTTCTGACACAGCACCCCCTGGGACTGGACATAGAATAACAGAAAATATGTTTAAAAGTAACTGGCCTCCACTTCGCTTCAGCGTTAAAGTCTGACTTGGCATTACATTAGTTTTATTTTACCTTCATGAGTGTGAGCTCATCAGTCAGGCTCTGGTTCTGGGCCTCCAGCTCTGTCACTTGTTTTTGGGACTGGATGTGTTGCTGCTCCCACTCCACAGAGCGCTGCTGGCAAACCTGCAGACACAAGGATGAATGAACTGCTCTCAACCAGCAGGGGTAGTAAGTGCAATCAGTATGTGACAGGTAATGTAAGGAAATAAGCGTTGGACTAATATTGTTGTACCTGGAGCTTTTCACTGAGGCCAGCCATCTCTGATGCTTTGGTATTTGCTCCTCCACTGGACTCCTTCAGCTGTTTGCGCTGTAGCTTGAAATAACTTCTCTTTAACTTATCCAACTGCAGGAAAAGATAGTCAAATTCAAATTTTAATCAGACACTTTTTAATAACTTTTCATTCAGCAAACATATACTAAAAAATAAGATAAGAAAAAGATTGACCAATACAATTCTCATTAAACAAAAAGAAACATAACGGAAAAGGAGAAGGAAGAAACATTGTAGATATCTTCAATAATACTCAAAATGAATATAGTATTTTTGGGTGACATATTTTAAATGGTTCGTTGATATGTTAGATATACCGGAAATGCAATTGTTGATATCAGTAATTGTTATTGTAACTAGAAAAAGAGGAATTACTGATATCTATTATTACATCAAATATACACTCAGGGTTCCTGCAGGTTTCACCAACTCAAATTTAAGACTTTTTAAGACCTTTTTAAGACCACTTTGAATAGAATTTAAGACCTGTTTCACGGCAAGAAAGTATGAAGGAAAATTGCTATGAAAGAAGAAATACGTCCAATAATTACATGCGTGTATGGGTTGGGATTTTTTTTTTAAAATCCTATGGAGCAGAGAGGAGCTGTGGATTATTGTTATTGATGAATGCATCAGTGTTTCTTAGGGTCAACAACACTAAACTCACTACTTACAATGAAAGCGTTTAGTTTATTTAATAAATGAGCACATGTTCAATGTGAAAAGTGACAGTACATATAGATTAGTTGCAATTTGGTGCTATATATATATATATATATATATATATATATATATATATAAAATTTAAAAATGAAAAAAAATTAAACACCTTGAATTTCAGGGGGGGCGCGGGGGTTCGTTGGCGGGGCGGGGCGTACACTGAGTACACAGAACTGTGATAGTGTGTTAGACAAAAAGTGTGTGTGTGTCTCTGTGTGGGTGTGTGTGTGAGTGAGTGACAAGAGCTATATTCAGAGCTCTGCTGCCTTCATGCTGTTGTATGATTGGTGTTTAGCTCCCAGGGTATATGCAGGAATCCTGAAGTCAAATGTAATTCCTTTTAAGACCGTTTTTAAGACCCTTTCCATACATTTTAAGAACTCATCGCAACTTTGAGTTTTAACCAGTTACCTTGGCGACACACTTTACCTCACATTGACTATATACAGTATTGATTGTCCTTCCTCCTTATCTTCCAACCATTTGGACGCAGACTTGCATTTCCCCATAACGATGTTGTTTAACAACCGGCGTAAACGGACCTTCGCACGCTATCAAGCAGTGAGCGTGCGATGTCCTGTTCAGATGACGTCTAATCCAACGGGATGCCATAAATAAAGTACACAGAATCACACTACACACCTACGCAATGATTACATTCAGGCACACACTAGAATACAACCTCTTTGGACAATTTATATACTTATTGAAAACAAGCTACAAAATGTAATACCTTGGAAAATGCCGTTTAACACTTTATAATACTTTTAATAGCCTTCATTTTCGCTAAATTGATTTATCAACTTTTAATACTTTTTAAGACCCCGCGGACACCCTGATACAGTATGGTAATACGATTTGACGAGCCAAAATGTGATTTCTACATATGATACTTGTAACTTGTAAAATAGATGCACAGATACTACTTTGCAGTGATCAAAATGAAATGTCATCACATCGCAAACTAAGATTATTCAGTTTTTAAAGATAGAAAATGATGTAGTTGCTCTAGAATTTATTTATTTGATTAAACTGGAGTTGGAAACATACATACATACATACATACATGGGCGTAATTTTCACCCCCCCCACTTTTCAAAATCCCGTTTTGTTTTTTTACGCAAGCGGTCATCGTCACGGAGGAGCACACAGCGTCTGTTAGGGCTGCTCAATTAATCGTATTTTAATCGCAATTACGATTATGGCTTGCAACGATTACGAAAACGTAATTTTTTTTGTATTGGTTTTTCAGTTGAATTATACTTAAAGTTCAGGGTAATCAACTGTTAAAAACATATTGTTCACATTTTTTTTTTTAAATGGATAATCGTTTTTAATAATCGTGATATCAATTATTGACCCAAATAATCGAGATTATGATTTTTGCCATAATCGAGCAGCCCTAGCGTCTGTGTGTGTGTGTGGCACGAGCGCACACACACATAGAGAGAGAGAGAGACACATAGAGAGAGAGAGAGAGAGAGAGAGAGAGAGAGAGAGAGAGAGAGAGAGAGAGAGAGAGAGAGAGAGAGAGAGAGAGAGAGAGAGACAGAGATATAGAGAGAGAGAGAGAGAGAGACAACAGAAAGAAGAGAGAGAGAGAGAGAGAGAGAGAGAGAGAGAGAGAGAGAGGAGAGAGAGAGAGAGAGAGAGACAGAGAGAGAGAGAGAGACAGAGACAGAGACAGAGAGACAGTGCACCAGTTACGGGGGTTGTTGTAAGCATCTGGTGCTAGCTCGGAGCTAACGGAGATTAGAAGCTGTCTCAACAATAAGGAGAGGGAGAGCTCTCTCCTGTGGGACTGAGAGAGATCACGTCAGCTCAGGGAGGTAAAGGACTCTCTGATACCCCTTTCACACCAAGGCTTTTCCCGTTCTAGCTCCGTGCTAGAGCTTTTCTGGTTCAGAACCGGTTCTTCGGTTTAGCTCCCGCTCTGTTCACACCACTCAGAGCCCGACTGGTGCTGCCGCTGCTGCGTCATGACGTCACAGTTTACGTCGCTGATTTTCTCCCCAACGGCGCCAACTACAACAATCGGGTCGATGATCGTGTTGCTTTTAATCATACGAAGCCAGATTAAATTAAATAACGACTTCTCCAACCTTATACTTTTCTCCAGAGTGCCGTGGTTCATTGTTTATTAATGTGTTTCAGCGGCATAACAGGGGTGCACATAACTGGTACGCAGGTACGCATGCGCGGCAACAATCTAAAATGCGTACCGTAACTTGTGTCACAAAGCGCATTTGCGTACCGACGTACTTGTGAAGCTTTTCCAGAAGGCGGTTAGATCACCGGACGACAGAGTCGGTCTCCGTGTGCACAGACAGGGCTGCTGTTAACGTCGGTCTGTACAGCAGCCCTGCGCTAAAACAGCTGATCACAACGTTCACACGCTCCGCGGGTCACGAAGCTCTGTACTCCACCCCCCCCCCCCCATTGACAATCATGAAGCGCTGTACTCCACTACCACCCCCCCCCACCCCCCGTTGACAATCGCCAGAAGTTGGAGTACCAAGCACTGACTCCAGGTACTCATCTGAGTACCTCACTGAGAAAGTTGTGTGCACCCCTGTTTATTACCGACCGCTGCAGTGCTGGCTGCTCTTCCACCGGAGTTTATTCTCCCGTTAGCTCCGGGTTAGCTCACACGGCTCTAAAGTATTCACTGTCTGACTGTCACACAAGCAGCTGTTACATATCCCCAGTTCCCCTTAAGTGAATGTGTGTCAGTCTGAATTGACGCTGTTTGGCATCACAACGTTGTTATGAAAGTTTCTCTGGTATAACATGGGTGATGTTAGCATAGCAACCGAAGCTAAACGGACTACTTGCTAAGCAGTTTTCTACAGGCACATTTTACCGGCGTATTTTTCATTATGATTCTACTTGTGATAGTCGGACATGACAACCTGTGCAGCCCATGTATTAATTCCATCCGATAGCTGCTATAATAACAAACAAAACGTCTGTCTCCACAATGATCAATAACAGCGAACAGATGGTCAAAGTAAGGTACAAATAAACAGAATCACACGAAGCCTGGTTAGTGTTGCCTGACTTTATAAAGTGTGTTTTTTTTTAACATGTGTGTGGTTGCGTTCTAGTCACTTTGCTCAGCACTACTGCTTGTTACAACTTTGATTTGCCGCACTCGCCTTAACTGTTAGCTCAGGTTAATCTCGCCCCCCTCCGAGGTAAGCGCGACGTATGCGGTTCTTGCTTCTAGACGGACAACTTTTTGGTGCTCGAAACGAACCGGATTCCGGAGCTTAGAGGCTGCTCCGCTGCGGTGTGAACAGGAAAAACCGGTGCTTTTCAAGCTCCAGCTCCGAACCGGCCCTGGAACCGCGTTGGTGTGAAAGGGGTATGAGGGATTAGATTGTAAACTTTAGTCTAAGTGATCTCAGTGGCTCTCAAACGGTTTGGTCATCTTTGTAAACAAATATTTCCATCTATTTAATATAGTTGTAAAAAACAAGTTAAGAAATCATTCCAATATAGGGGAGTGATTAGTAAAATATGCAGACTAGGTAAAATAAAGATAGGAGAGAGGAGTTGATCAAATATGTGTTATTGGTTGTGAGCATATTCTAATGGTTTTTTGATTATTGAAATATATACAGTTCTGTTTCATCTGAGTGCTGTATCCATAAATCTCTTAATGTTGCCCTCAAAGTGCACCAGATTGATGCTTTAACTTCAAATTAAAGAAACAAATCTTCCCGGGGGTGCATGCCCCCGGACCCCCCTAGAGGATGTGAGGTAATCACAAATAAAACAGGTTCACATAGATAGGATACTAGATAAGTGTGCACACTCATTATATACACTACACATTTTTCTTGGACTTGTTAACACCATAGTCCCTAATATATTTGTAGAAAGGCAGGAAATGGAATTAAATCCAGAAAATGTTTCATTGCGGAGGACGCCCTGTTTTGTGTCCCCCCCCACTTCTCAAACCAAAGTTACACCCTTGCATACATACATATACACATACATACATACATACACATACACATACACATACACACACATACATACATACATACACATACATACATACATATATACACATACATACATACATACATACATACATACACATACATACATACATACCTCAATAAATTAGAATATCGTGGAAAAGTTAATTTATATCATTAATTCAATTCAAAAAGTGAAACTCATATTATATATATATATACACACACAAAGTGAAATATTTCAAGTCTTTATTTGTTTTAATCTTGATGATTACGGCTTACAGCTAATGAAAACCCAAAGATCAGTATCTCAGAAAATTTGAATATTACATAATTAAAAAAAAGGATTTTTAAAACAGAAATGTCGGCGTGTGTATGCACTCAGTACTTGGGCCTCCTTTTATTACTGCATCAATGCGGTGTGACATGGAGGCGATGAGCCTGTGGCTCTGCTGAGGTGTGATGGAAGCCCAGGGTGCTTTGATAGCGGCCTTCAGCTCGTCTGCATTGTTGGCTCTCGTGTCTCTCATCTTCCTCTTGACAATACCCCATAGATTCTCTATAGGGTTCAGGTCAAAGTTTGCTGGCCAATCAAGCGCAGTAATTCCATGGTCACTAAACCAGGTCTCAGTACTGTTGGCAGTATGGGCAGGTGCCAAGTCCTGCTGGAAAATGAAATCAGCATCTCCATAAAGCTTCTCAGAAGAAGGAAGCATGAAGTGCTCTAAAATGTCCTGGTAGACGGCTGCGTTGACTTTGGACTTGAGAGAACACAGTGGACCAACAGCAGCAGATGACATGGCTCCCCAAATCATCACTGACTGGAAACTTCACACTGGACTTCAAGCAACTTGGATTGTGTGCCTCTCCACTCTTCCTCCAGACTCTGGGACCTTGATTTCCAAATGAAATGCAAAATGTACTTTCATCTGAAAAGAGGACTTTGGACCACTGAGCAATAGACCATCTCTTTTTCTCCTTAGCCCAGGTAAGACGCTTCTGACGTTGTCTCTGGTTCAGGAGTGGCTTGACACGAGGAAGGCTCAGTTGTAGCCCATGTCCTGGATACGTCTGTGCGTGGTGGCTCTTGATGCACTGACTCCAGCCTCAGTCCACTCCTTGTGAAGATCCCCCAAATGTTTGAATGGCCTTTGCTTTACAATCCTCTCAAGGCTGCGGTTATCCCTGTTGCTTGTGCACCTTTTCCTACCACACTTTTTCCTTTCACTCAACTTTCTATCAATATGCTTGGATACAGCACACTGTGAACAGCCAGCTTCTTTAGCAATGACCTTTTGAGGCTTACTCTCCTTGTGGAGGGAGTCAATGACTGCAGTCTTCCCCATGATTGTGAAGCCTACTGAACCAGATTGAGAGACCATTTAAAAGGCTCAGGAAACCTTCGCAGGTGTTTTGAGTTCATTAGCTGATTAGAGTGTGACACAATATTGAACTTTTTCACAATATTCAAATTTTCTGAGATACTGATTTTGGGGTTTTCATTAGCTGTAAGCCGTAATCATCAAGATTAAAACAAATAAAGCCGTGAAATATTTCACTTTGTGTGTAATGAACCCATATAATATATGAGTTTCATTTTTTGAATTGAATTAATGAAATAAATTAACTTTCCACGATATTCAAATGTATTGAGATGCACCTGTACATACATGTAGAAGAGCTGTTAATGAGAGATGTCTTAATACATGTTGACCTAGATCATCAGTGAAATGAAAGCATTTTGAACTTGTTTTAAACTGTGTGATGGACCAAGCCTCACCTCCTCGCGGAGCCGCTGCAGCTGCTTCTCGTTCTGGGTAACCATCTCATGTCGGCCCGGCTGCACCTCCTCCAGCTGCTGGCGGAGCAGTCCGATCTGCAGGCAGAGTTTTCACAGGAATGGTGTCGGAAAAATGTGGCTACAATTCCAACAGTGATGATAACACATGGGACATCCAGAGTCAAACTTAAGATAATAAGAAAATAATAAGATAAGATAATAAGAATAATAATAATAAGAATAATAATAGTAAATAATAATAATAACAATTATATAATAATAATCTATAATAATAATAATAATAATATAATAATAATAATAATACATAATAATAATTGCGCTGCAATACCGCACAACACTATTCTTCAAAATGACATCGGAGATGAATGATTGAAGTGGAGATGGTCAGTTTCCAGATTTCTGCGTCAGGAAACAGAACACTAATTTTAGGAAGGATCTGCTGCTTTACCTCCAGGTCCCTCCGTTCAACCAGGTCCCTGGAAGCCAACAGCTCCTCTTCGCCTCTCTCCAGCCGGAGCTCCATGGCCTGAGTCTCAGCCTCCCACTCCCTCCTCTGATGGTCGATCATTATGTCGATCTGTCTCATCAGCTCCTGAAGCTCCGGCTCGCATGATGACAGCACAGAGCTGGAATAGAATACATATATATATTACACATTTAGATGTGGGCTAGACCTTCGAGGATACCACATAATTAAGAGCTAACCATCACTACGTGATTTTAGTATTATCTCAAATTAGTAAGAAATGCACTGGCTTTAGCCACCCTACCTTAGGTCAGGGTTCTGCAGACATCCCAGAGAAGCCTCCATCTGCTGGGAAATGACACGCTCAGCGTTAAACTTCACTTTAACTTGCCTCAAGTTAGCTACATGCAAAGTTAACTAACCTAGCAACCTCAGACAGCATTGTCGTTACTACCTAATACAACCAAACTGAGCTGTAACCACGCCAGTTACGTACGTTGCGTGGGTTGAAATGGGTAACTAACGTTAAATCAACTTAAATTGGACTGTGGAAAAGTCTAAGTACAGCAAGAAAATCCTTAGCAAACGTTTACAAGTTTTAGAGCGACAAATTACTTTTGTTTACAATGTTAACTGAACTACACAGCAGCCAGCACAAACTCGATTTCCTGATGTAAGGCGGTAACTCCGCCTCCAACCTGTGACCTCAGCACGCTGTACGTCTAGTGTTAGGGGACTCTGCCTCTGCCTGCAGGTATGGCTAATCATAGGCTAAATTAATCTCTTACCGTGCACGGTGCACCTGGCATCAACAGGCTGTTGTATTAAATAAACATAATAATCCAAGTGTCTAGCGAGTTAAATTACAATAACTATAACTATGTTCCACATTCCATATTTTGAATGCCTGGGGACAAACTGTTACTGGGACTTCAATGAACAGTGAGACGATGTGTATTCCACACTATGATAGTTACACAAAAGCAAAACGAATATGCAAATCAAAAGGCTCATCCTGTTAGGTGAGTTGATTAAATTCTGTTGTATCGGTCTTCGTGAACACGTGGCTCGTTGGTCTAGGGGTATGATTCTCGCTTCGGGTGCGAGAGGTCCCGGGTTCAAATCCCGGACGAGCCCATCCTTTTGATGGTGGCCACCCTTTTGATTAATGGTGGATGCCGCTCCTAAATGAATAATAATAATGCGAAGCTAAACGTTTAGCGTTAGCGGTAGTTTACAACACAACCACTGCGGTACAATGCGATGTACTTGCAGAGAAAGTTTGACGCTGTATGCCCTTAATACGAATCACCATGTTGTTCTTTTTAAATCATTTACCCATTCGGTTTGACATTAACGTTGCGGTCAACTGGAAGCTTCTTAACCACTTAACCGCTGTACCATCCTAAGAGAAATGTCGGATAGGTGGTATTAGTTAAAAATCGAGTAAAGTCTTCATAGAAATACCTAGACTTTAATCATTATAACCAACACAAAAAGGTACAATATGATCAGCAAACCAGTTAGCTATATATCAGCAATAATTCAAGAAGCACGTATGGCTCGTTGGTCTAGGGGTATGATTCTCGCTTTGGGTGCGAGAGGTCCCGGGTTCAAATCCCGGACGAGCCCTCCCTTTTTCTGCATTACGTATGGTCATTCATCTATTCATTTCATTTAATATACCCTTTGTCATTAATGAATGCATTTTAATATACCCACATGTATAATGACGTGATAGACGCTTTGAACAGGGGAGTGGCTACAGGTGAGATATCACGGTTTGATTAATTCCCCTTCCAAGCCGCCTTCTTTAACCCGCACCAGTTTCTCCACCTGCCCTCCCACACTAAACAAAGAGCGTCACCACCACCCAGCTGTTGTGCTGTTTGTCTGGGCCGTGAGAAGAGAGAGGGCTGTTTCTGTTTCTCCCCCCCCCCCCCCCCCCCCACACACACACAGCAGACCAGACGAGCTGCCTCTCCATTCACTGCAGTGCTGCTCCGCTGTGCACTCCGAAGGGACAATACTCTGTGTTCGGTCTGAAGCAGCACTGAGGAGTAACGTTTTACATTGGCTTCCCCATACTGTAAGTAGGCTTTACAGACAATATTGTTATTATTTTTAGCTTAACTTGTTTCCATCAAATATAATTTTTAGTGTTGGATGCTGTTTTTTTTTATGGTTATCAATTTCTGTTATATTTAACTTTATTGTCAGCTACACTCTTCTTGGCTATATTTAAAACATACATGTTTGTTATCCCCTAACACCTAAATAATGATATAGCTGAAGTCATATTATAGAATTACCTATACATCTTTAAATAAGTCAGATGTATTTTCAATCCAATTTAGCAAGAAATCTAAGTATTTAAGTATCCTTTTATTTGTATACTTCTCTCTGTTGTACTTTGCACATTCCTTGAACAATTTTGCATATTTCTGCTACTACAATATACTAACTATACTAATACCAGTGCTATAAACTACACATTTAATTCAGATATATGTTTATATATATATATATATATTTTAATATTCTTTACTGAAATATATTTGTGTCAGCTTTCATTTTAATACAGACTTTTGATTTGTTAGTATTTCAAATATATATATATATTTTTTTTTTATCTTAACAGAGAGGAGAAAACTGGACCCCTGCAGGAACCATCTACTTCAACAAGCCTTGATCGTCAGGTGCCTGATATCAGAGCTTTTCTCCTGGACAAACAGGATCCACATCATCGCGTCACTTTGATCCTGCAGCCGGACCATGGTTCTGTGTGAGGACGGAGAGTGCAGCGTGTGCCTGCTGCCCTACTCTCGGACAGACAGGGTCCCCAGGGTGCTGCACTGCAGACACACCTTCTGCCAGCTGTGCCTGGAGACCATGTCCCAGGCCCGGAGCGGGCTGCTCACCGTGGGCTGCCCTCTGTGTCGAAGGGTCACCGGCGTAGGACGGGGCCTCGGCCTGCAGGAAGCTCTGTGGGTCGACAGCAAGCTGTGGGAGCAGATACCGGAGGAAGAGGACGCTGAGGCCGAGGAGGAGGAGGAGGAGGAGGAGGAAGATGGACTGAAAGCAGAAGCTGAGGAGGAGGGGACGGAGTCCAAACAGGAGACCTCGCTGCGGGCAGAGTGGTGGGTTTAAAAGTGTAAACAGACACGTATGTGGTCATTAGCACAAGTAATAACCCATACTTATTTTTGGGCTTTCACATCTATTTACACGTATCTATAACCTTTTGACCTTTGACATCTTGAGTTATTTTCTCAAAACAATGCTTTTCCAGAATGCCTCAAAGGTAGGGTAGGTAAGAATGGAGAAACCAGCTCGAATAAGCTAGAATTTGAAAGTACACAACCGAAAAAGTGAATTGCCTACCCTACCTTTAACTTTTCCAAACCAAAAACATGCAAATTGAGTATAGTATGAGAATAATATCCCTTTAAAACCAGTGTTGAATTTGAAGAATTGGAGAAGATTCCTGCCATAGCTCCCCCATTCACACGTTGGTGTTAATCTGCACATTTGTCCACAAAGCTTCTCATTAGCGCCTCGGCTCTGCAGGGCCACATTTTGTTGTAGAAGTAACCCTATTCAACTTTTGCTTTTCAGTGCTTCCTCCAGGTCTGCCAGAACAAAGCTGAAACTGCCTGGCTTCTTCAGGAAGTTCAGTTTAACGAAGCAACACCAAGAGAGGATTGTGCCCGGCAGTAATGTGTAAGTCCTGACTTTGGGAAAATTAACATAAAGAAAAACGGAAGGGAAAATAAGTGTGTTTTTTCTTGTTTTTAAGGGAAATGAAATCGTGGCGCAGGCTTTCAACTGAAGAGACTGTTTAAGAAGGGAGGAGGTGATGTGGCAGATCCTCTTAGGATGTTATTAGCAGATGCTAGACGCCACAAGAAGACGACTCACCCCTCTGAAGAGAGAGAGTCCAGGCCGTTAGAGCCAGGAATCCATTTGTGTTGCTGTCAGGACTTTGTTTGTCTCCAGCCAAAGGTGCCCCGTGTCCCCATTATTTATTCTAGGCCTAATTCCCCCAGCTGGTGCGTTTGGTTCAGCTGTCCCAGGGGGACTCACACCCGGAGACCCCCTCGTGACAGATGGTCTCTGAGGACCTTCCCTTCTGAACGTTGAACATAACTTATTGTTTTTTATTTTATTTATGATAGCTAGTAGGCAAAGTATTAAATAAAACTATTTTTGAAAGAAAAAGTGTTTTTATTTACTTGTGGAGAGAAAAGAATCATGAGCAATTCTGTACTTTACAAAATGCATCATTTATGACATTACGTATGTATTTAAGTGACTGAAAAAAAAAAAGTGAATGCAGTCGGAGATTTCTGAATGTGAAAATGAGTTTTGTGGGCTAGAAACAACAAAAGCATGTCACAAAAGACTTGTTCAGCCATGAAAGTGGATTATAAACTCCATTCAGTGAGCATCTGGCAATATTCCATGCTGCAGATATTAGAATAGTGGATCATCACTGTTATGGGAATGGACTTTATTCTCTTGTGCACACATGTATGTGTACACACCAGTTCAGAAATATACAGCATTCTGAGATACATGAAATCTCACAGAGGTATTACAGGGTTTGGCTTCTCACTCATATTAAGGTCATGTGATTTGGCTCCAAGAAATCCGTTAGTAGTCCAACTGGTTTGATTCCAAAGTGGTTGGAGCAGGTTTCTCAACTGTAATCCTTGATTGTGTGTTATTTTTCCTCTCGGTACCATTTCAGTTTTCCCACGGTTAAATACTATCCGATGACTCGCCACACAGGGAGCTCCTTCCAAAGCTGTGATGATCTGGAATCAGCAGCTGGCTGTCAGTCAGGAGGACCAACACACTGCGCTGTGAAAGTGGCTCAGTTTCAGTTTCGCAACATTCACTGACTCCCACAGCTAGTGTTGGTCTCTGGGCCTTTAAGATGGAACAGAACAGGAAACAACTCCCAGTGCAGGGAACAAGAACTCATATTCTCCACTTGAGTGAAACAGCATTGCTACAAGGTGAAAACAATGCAAATACAAGATCCAAAAAGATCCTGTATTTAAAAGTTTATCAAAACAAAAGTGCTCTTTATCGCAATGAAAAGTCTGTAACTGTCATACGTTGTATACAAAGTACTAGTACCTTAAAATTGTACTTCAGCACAGTACTTGAGAAAATGCGCAGGTTGGTGTGCTCACAAGTAATGAGGAAGTTCTCAGATCAGGTCCCACCTCAACAAATAAACATCTCTAGAGGGGGAGTCTTGTGGAGTCTTTGCAACAGACATTGTGCAAGACAGTTTCCCATAGCTGACCGTTACAGCAACACATTCCTGTTTGGGTACGTGTGTCCCACGGACTGTGGGTTGAGTGAAATATACTCAAATACCTTTGCAAAATTGCAAATCTGGGACTAAACTAGGACAGACTTCAATGGAATGTTAAGTTCACTTTGTGACTATAACTTTAAGTGTTACCGTTAGTTTGTCTGTCTGTTTTCACAGAGAAGAAATACTGTTAGATTTTCATGAAACTTGGTGGAAGTGTGAAACATGAGGCAAGACAAGAACATATTGTTTGAGCAGATCCTAAGAACAGGGCAGATGTCTGAATGGACGCAGCCCTGGCTGAGGTCTTTGCTCTTTTAGTGCCCAACAGATGCAAATGTGTTTGAATAGATTTAAAACTCAGGCACGATTAGTAAAAGCCTCACAGTGACTAAGACATGTTTAACATTGGGACCAGTGGCTCGTTATTGTGCCCCCCCCCCACAAGGCTCCTGTGGCCCCAGCCATACAGCAGGTATTAACTGATGACTGTCTCACAGTAGAAACCATGCGTGCCACAACATGTACAAATACTTGTTAACACTGTCACAACTATTGCTTAATTACTGGTAACTACACCAGCAGTTCCCTGTAGGTCTGTGTGACGTAGCACCATACCACCCGTCAATTTTTAAATGGGTTTATTGCTATTTATTTTAAAACAAATGTTAAGTAAAACCACAGAATACCCTATAATAAATAAAGCCAGGCAAATATGTCTCTTAATTCTGGCAAATGATAAAACATAATTCTAGAAATATACTTTTAGGTTTATTGTAAATGTTTTTTTCATGAATTGAATACAGGATTTTAGTTTTTTGTTAGAAGTGTTTGTTGTTGTAATACTAACTTTGGCAACAAGAGGCTGGTCGCCCCACAGAGCGTTGTGATAAAAACGTCTCATAGCATTCATGTTTGCTTCCAGCTCACACAAGGTTAAAATATAGTGTGTGAGCAGGTTTTGCAATATATCCGTCATGGCTTGAAAACATGAAGGCTGTGAGTTCTGTTAACAACATGAGGGAGTGGTGCTCTTCAGCCTCACGTGCTCCACATGAGAAATACATCAAACTGAGAATGTTGCCACTCCCTTTTCTTCCAGCTGTTTCACTGACGGAGAAAAGGGAACATCGGAAAATATTCCTGTCAAAACTATTTTTCTTAACCAGTTTTTCAAGACATAAAAATATAGGAGAAAACTATTTAGTCAGACCTAAAAAACATATATATTTTCTTTTGTCTTGTCTTCCTGTCCAAAAGTTGATATTGTCATTATACTTTTTTTGGTCAATATTAACATGATCATAGAATGTAGATATTACTGTAATAATTACATATTCACACCTTCAAAATGTAATTTAACTTTAATTTCATGGATTGCTCAAAGTATGAGCTTCAGTTTGTGTATTTTTAAACAAGAATAAACACACACACACACACACACACACACACACACACACACACACACACACACACACACACAGTAAGGTGTGTGTTCATAGAAGCAGATGTGTGTACAGTGTGGAAAAGAATGTGCAGGGGAACAAAAACACTCACTTTGGTAATAAGACATCTTTATTAATCATTTGGAGAGACATGCTAGATCTCTGTACAGTGTGAATGAGAGCAGAACACACACACACACACACACACACACACACACACACACACACACACACACACACACACACACACACACACACACACACACACACACACACACACCCCGGGAACCTCCGTCCTCCCCACCGACACGCAGAGACATCTGTCCCTCTACCGGGTCCATTTCCAGGGATGCTGAGATGGGACTCTAAAAGGGACTCTTCTTTAAGGGAATACATACAAAGGGACTCTTCTTTAAGGGAATACATACAAAGGGACTCTTCTTTAAGGGAATGCATACAAAGGGACGTCTAATGAACTGATTGGTCATTTGTCCTCATTTAAACATAAATACCCATTGAGTGATTTTGAAAGTGCTCTCCTTACAAGGCTGAGTGGTGGGTAATGAGAGCAGTACATTCCTGTTTGAGATCATAAATAGGCAGCAACAGAGGCTTATATTATCACTTTCATTTTCAGCGATTATAAATTGAAAAGAAACCAATCTCTCCTGCCATGTTGGATCCGTCTCTTATTATTATTATTATTATTTGGCTCTTTATGTGGGCTAGAAAGGTTCACCAGTTTTTACAAGAGTGCTTCCTTTTTGGACAACAATGTGTGAACAATTAACGAGTCTACTCTAAAACACAGGACTCCAACTGTTCTGTACATTAAGATTATTTTTACCATGTGTCTAGGACTTACATCGTCACTATAACTCTAAAACATGTTCTTCAAAAGTGCAGTAAGATTTCACTTCAAGGACAAGTCAAATCAAAAGTAGTGTTCTCAATAGCGGCTGACTCCAGCACCAGTGTTTTATGATACCTGGCTCTAAAACAAAAGAACAAAATGAAACAACATTGCTTAACGTCATTTGTCAGTTTAAACACAAGCAGCAAAGAAGTGGGACACGTGACACTCACACAGCTCTTGGATTAAGTGACTGTACATTTACTATGAAGCTTTACGGCGCTTCATATTCACCTGAAAGGTCTACATGTGCAAATAAGTCTTCTGTCAGGAATGGAACTGGATTATGTGTGTGTGTGAGCAGGTGTGAGATCAGTCTGCAGCTCCTGTTCCTCTGTGATTCTCCACTGTGCAGACCACTAGAATCACAACTATCACACAGTGCCACGTCATGTTGTTGTGAGGGGGGGGGGGGGGGGGAGACCTATTATGAAGCCGTTATGTGGCAATTGACACGACTTGGCAGTGGCCCTCTATACAACTGCATTCTAATGTTGCCAATACAGAAAGCACACATTTACACACACACGACAAAGAGATATTCTGAAGTCAGGTATACAAATCCAGTTTGACAGTTTCACTGGTGTAAATGTACATATTGTGTTCATTGGTAGACAGTACCTATGCTCAAAGACAAGGCATGCATTAGATACTCAAGATGTTGCTGACCACTTCCTGTTTGCACAGTTATGGATCCCACAGGGGTTAAAGGCTGAAAGGATAAAACTGGTTGTTTAAGTAAAAAGATCCTTAAGTGTAGGTATACGGGGAATATTGACAATGTGTAGGGCTGCCCATTGGCACAAAGACCAATTACTAGGAAATCCTAATAGTTTGAAACATGTCCTGTTGGAGCTATATTTTGATTTATATTATTTAATAGCTAAACATTTAATTTCTCACTGTTTTTGTTTATGGTACATGTAATATTATTTAGTGTTATTATTAGTTAGTTAAAGTAGTTTTAACATTTTATTTTGAAGGTGTATTTGGGCACCTGGTGTAATTGTATATATTGGAGACAGGTGGTGGTGGGAGTAGAGCACCAGTTGGATTTATCAGGGTAAACACGAGGAGACCAGAGGACAGGCCCAGGGAAGAGAGGTAAACCTTTGTCCGTTGTATATTGATATAGGAATAAAATGCACAGAAAGGACTCTTGCCTGGACTTGATCGTTTTATTTGAGTTCATTTTCTTGTTTATTTGCAGTAGGAATTTTTGATTGGTGGAAAACAATGGTGTTTTTGAAGATTGGGCCGTTGGATCATTGCGTGGCACAGCCTGGTCGGGGGTTAGGACAGGATTACATTTACTGCAATAGTGTTGGGAGGAATTCTATTTTTGCCTGTAACAATAGTGGGATCCATAAACATACATCCAAAACCATCTGCTCTTACCAAGCCCTCAAAAAAGAGCTTTGTTTGCATCTTTTAAAAAAAAAAAAACCTTTCCAGAGAGATTCCCTGAATATACAAAAATATAAAACAGAAACTGGGGAGACTTCCTTTTTTACTTAAACAAGTATCCACATAAAATAACTTGGGGATCATTGTTTCACATCTTTGTCTTTTTTACTTTCTTTTTTGCAAGTTGTAAGACTTTATGGCAGTTTCATTTACAAAGTAGACTACACTACTTTAAAACCAAATTCACATATTGTTAGTTCCAACCGGTGACTGACAGTCAGGTGAGGAGGCCAGATTCACAACGTGCAAAAGTCAACTGCAGGTTAACCAATAGAAAGCAACATAACAAGCATGTGGTGTAGATGATGTGTTTATCCCAGGATGAGAGTATTAACAGGAGCAGCCGCCTTCAGTAGTCTGAGGCTCCTGCGGTTTGTCCAACTTGATGTCGATCACTGGAGAGAGCGTTAAGGAAGAGTTGGAAAACATCAGTATTGATTTTATTACATGCTCTGAACGGAGCAGCTGCTCTGAAAGCCTTCAGGGAGGAAATGCAGGTGAAACATGATGGAGTCTTTTATAATATCCCACCAGACTGCCTAATAGAAGACTGTAGTAGCACTTATCTACCACTAGATGGTAATATTTCCCATGCAACCCTTCCATTTGCAGTCAACTATACTAACAGCCAAAATACCTACATTATGTCAAAAAATAAATAGATATAGTTGCTGCACATAATAATAATTAAAAACTTATCTTTTATTATTGGTAGGTTTTATGTTTAAAACACAATTCAGCATTTTCTTCACATTGTGCGGTGAGAGGGCAGACCTGCTGTAAGGCGCATCAGTTGGTGTACTTTAATACAATACAGCAGGTGAAATGTGGCAGCACAGCAGCAAGCTCTTACTTACTATTCATCTTTCTGGTAAACATTATGCATGTATAAGGAGGGGGCCCGGCCTATAAAAACTGTGGCCTACATATTGTATGCAAGTTGAAAGAGTCTCATTGCTTTCAGATGCCCCTCCCACAGTGCATGGTGCTGTATCAGCAGGTGATGTGTGTTTTCATGTTTTATGGAAGCGTTTCATCGCTACAATGGCTACATGGTAACATTGGAAGGACAGCTTATATTCCAGCCTTCCCATTTGGATTGGTTCCCATCTGGAATATGGAGGCTTTATCACAGCATTACCAAACCAAATGAGCACGTTCAGCTCAGAATATTTCACAGCTCTGATACCTGTGTGTGATTGGGTGTGTGTGTAGGTTACAGTCTACAGCATATCCTGAACAGTGAGTAATGAGTCCTCTGCCACTATAGTGGCATTTGTTTCAGAGTGTAGCGTAATACATAAGTATGTATTCTGGTTAAATCCTCAAATAGCTTTTAAGCAATAGATGGATAGCAGTGGCGGCTGGTGAATCTTTCTCCAGGGGGGGCTCTACCAAAATGTAAGCAAACGTATACACAAACTCAAGAACATAAGTCATATTACAAGGCAGGGCTAGCTCAAAGGCACACAGCACTTGATACAGTCTATTATTTTAGTGCCTGTTTTTGTCAACCTCCTTATTATGCTTACTGACCTCTATCCTGTAGCCCTCATTGGACAGCTGTGTTTACTTTCCTAAACATGACTAGTCACATAGCATCGTCCATGTGGACTCTGGTTTGTTCATGCTTTTTTGTTTTTTCTGATATGTGCTTTAAGTCACTCACATCTGTCTGGATCCATGCTGGGTCTGGTCCATAGACTGGTCTGATCCTGACGTTTGAAAAGGGAGGCAGGGGAAGCAAAATATAGCACTGGTGTTGCTACAGGTAGTTATACAAGCCTTCTTGCTAAACCAGCTCCTTCAAAATGTACGCTTATACTGCCTTCCTCTGTCCTTAACTCCTGCCTAATGTCAGGCTGATCAGCTCCAAGCTCTTTTACTTTCAGCTTTCCCTCCAGTGTCCTCCTCTCAAAGGGTGTTTCTTTAAGTGATTAAACATCATTTTCCTTCTCCATATTCGCTATCTAGTTTAGTGGGAATGCTGATACAGCATTCCAACTATCTGTTCTTCGACGCACGAAATTCTTTATTATTCTGCAGGGTTATTTTGCGCCTCTTCTTCTCCCACATTCCACATCGCAGAAACTCTGTTCAAACATCAAAACGTTCAGCTCGGTCGGGAATCGATTGCTATTACTTTTCTTATTCATAACTTTCATAATTCCAGAGATACATCCCATAATTCATCAAATGTTTTACATGGAAGTCAATGGAGAAACTCTTCAGACTTGAAAAATCTTCATGCGACTTCAACTGCTAACTGTTCCTTCATACTTTCACTCAGAAACCTCATGCCAACTTTAAAATGTTACACATCTTTCTGACATTATTCGTGTAACACAACTTTTAAATCTGATTCTTCCTTTTAGAAATATTAAACATTGTTCAGACCTTGGTAAAGAGGCCTTCTTCAGATTTTAGAGTGCGTGATGTCACAGCTAGAGTGGAGGACAGATTTAATTTTGCCTTCATATTTTCTTTTAAACCTGCCATAATTCCCAAACCCGACATTCCTGAGACATAACTTTCATGACAAATGTAGGAAAACATCTCGTAGCTTGATAATTAAACAAAATGCCTCTTGAGGGCATGAAGTGACACAAACTTTCAACATGTCTCCATTAAAACCCCATTGTAAGTTGAGCCTCATCTTTCCCCACCACAGCAGCCGCACACCTTTAGTTAATCTGCCAAAAAGGCCACATTATTAACCCGAAAGTACACAAAAAGTGCACTTCAGATGCTCAAGTTCCTTGACATGCTTCACGCTTTGAAATTTCACCGATATCTGTTACGGTTCTTCAACAAAACGTTCACATGTAAGAGGTTTATCTCTCATTCAGAACAATGAAAATGCTCTCCTCTCACTGATTACTGCACATCACCATGGAAACCTTTGATCTCTGGACACGTCGTTAGCTCAAATATAAACACCTGTGTCATGGAGCACGATGATGTCATAACTCCAACTGACATGCTCAGAGCAGCAGATTTCAGATAATGGTTAACACAGCTCTACATCAAATCTGATGTTACATAATGTGGTGTTACTATGGTAACGCATCCCTCGCCATAAAACACGATGTCGCTGTAACTCCAATGGACACCAGTGTTCATGTATCATTTCAATCTAAATTCTTCACTTTCTTCTTACACATTACATTTCAGCATAGTACTTGTCTAGTGTCTTTGCATAGTATATGCAAAGACACCCAACATTTGAGGTAGGCCTCACATCACTTTTATCTCTGCTCCGAGATCAAGCCCACTCTGTTGCTACTGTCAGACATGTGATGGACAAAATCAAGGACATTGTGGCATTTTTTAACCCAGGCCAGGTACCTGTAATTGCTGCTGACCAGCCAATGTATGCAGTAGCCAAACAGGTGCAGTGGCACTGGCCTGAAAACTATGGTGAGGACAAGTTTGTCATCATGTTTGGAGGCCTACATATTGAAATGGCTGCACTGAGGTCAGTTGGGACCCTACTCCAGGACAGTGGTTGGACAGGAGCTCTAGTTGAAGCTGGCATTGCATCTGCCGGTACAGCAGAATCGCTTTTAACAGCTTCAAGCATCACTAGGACACGACAGATGCACCAGATAACAGCATGCAGTTTGTACAAGCTAATGAAGGTGGCCTATGCTGACTACTCCTGTGAGGCAACTGAAAATGCTGGGGAAGTTCTCTGTATAGAGAACCGCAGTGACGCGTCCTAAAACCCGGAAGTAAGTTAGCATTTTTACCACGTCCGGTTCCTTCGACAAAAAGCAATGCATTTTCTCCATAGGATTTTGGAAAATAGCTCGAAATAAGGTCTGTGTTTGACACAAATTGAAGAGACAGATCACGTTTTGTTCTACGACATTAAATACATCAGCAGTGACCCCGCTGGTGATTTTTGAAGAGTTTACGTGTCTGAAAAACGATGGTTGTTAACATGTGGCTGAATAGGACTACAGAAGTTGTCCAGGCCGTTTTACGTCATTACACCGAACACGTAAAACACTCCCGCTAAGTTTGTTTGCCCTGTTCTGCTTGAAAGCAAGTACCTGCCTCCTGCAAACTGTTCAAACAAACGCTTCAACTCGTACCATTTCGAATCTGTATGTTTGAATATGGATCTTAAGTTGGCGTGATGTTGAAGCAGCGACCCTGCTGAAGTTCGTTTATACAGGGTTCCTGCAGGTTTCGCCAACTAAAATGTAAGACTTTTTAAGACCTTTTTAAGACCACTTTGAATATAAAAGAAGAAATACGTCCCATAATTACTTACAAAGTAAATGTATTCATGTTCAACATAAGAACAATGACTGAACATAACAGCATAACAGTACAGAACTGTGTTAGCGTGTTAGACAAAAAGTGTGTATGTGTGTGTGTCTGTGTGTGTGTGTTCGGGCTGTGCAATTAATCGTATTTTAATCGCAATTACGATTTTGGCCTGCCACAATTACGAAAACAACATAATCGAAAAAAACAATTATTTAGCTTTGCTAGGTTGTGACAGTGCACTACAACATAATTTTGATCTAATTAATTTTAGTCTAATTTATTTTTATTTATCATATTTATATATGTTTAGTAGCTTGTGGAAGTGCGCTCCAAAATATTTGTTGATCTTGTTTATTGGTATTTATTATTTTTATATTATTTATTTAAATGTATAATTTATTTAATTTATTTTTGCATTGGTTTTTCAGTTGAATTATACGTTCAGGGTAATCAACAGTTAAAAAGATACTGTTCAAATTATTATTTGTTTTAAAGTTCAATAAATGGATGTTTTCAAAGTCAATGAATAATCATATTTAATAATCGTGATATCAATTATTGACCAAAAATAATCGTGATTATGATTTTTGCCAAAATCGAGCAGCCCTAGTGTGTGTGTGTGTGTGTGTGTGTGTGTGTGTGTGTGTGTGTGTGTGTGTGTGTGTGTGTGTGTGTGTGTGTGTGTGTGTGTGTGTGTGTGTGTGTGTGTGTGTGTGTGTGTGTGTGTGTGTGTGTGTGTGTGTGTGTACTGGTTTCAACCAAGCACTACATTTGAGGTTTTCCAACCAAATACGGCTGAACTTACACTTCCCCATATTTATTTGTAAGTAGATTCGAAGATACATGAGTTTCTGACTGCCGCTAGCTGAAGCTTGGTTGCTAGGTTACTAGCTGGGTGTTCTCCAATAAGGGGCCGGCGGAAACAAAGTTAGTGATTACTGGTTCCATGTTGATTTATTTCAATACAAATTGTTGGGGGGAACTGAAAGGCTATTACCGTACTGGTTACTTTGCAGCCCGGACATTTCCCCCAAAACACATTTAGACGCGATCGCAACACAGAAGTACCTTTCAAATCCGATCATTTTTAAGACCTTCTAAATCATATTTAAGA